TGCACACGTTGAGTGTGCTGTGTTTGGTTGATGAGTTCCCCCAAGGTTAAGCTCTGTTATTCTTTTTTTTCTCATGACCCTGATTCGGAACGTAAACACTGACGTCAATTTGTTGTCCACAATTTTGGCTTGAAGCAGGGATCTTACCACAGAAGTACAAAACTACGAAAATGTGTCTATATTCATCCTCTCCATTTGCTTTTCCTATGGAAATTTCTGTTTATACTACCATCTGTTTTTCTTTTAAGGAAGACATCTAGGAGGATAATTAATTGGTTTTAGATTATTTGAGGTAATAGGACATAAAGGGGGCCTTGTCTGACCCAGGTCTCAAGCTAGTTGTCGCTCACTAGTCAGTCAACAAGGCGTATCTGCAACCACATTGAAGGAACAGTTCAAGTCCCTCCTTCTGAGATTCAAAACCGTGTCGCCGCCCAGTGCCACCTGCAGTGAGTCAGAGACGCTATCACCACTGAGCCATCCTATTCAAGCAGGCTCGTGATTGACCTCATGTAAGGATGACTATTGGTTGGTGGCTAGCTCGTTATCACCGATTGTTGATTGCTTCCACAGCCATCTAATTGCAACGATTTACAACAGTGCATCGTGATGGCGAGCTAGCCACCCAGCCTGTTGGTGGCCACAGGGCAAAATTGACTGACTGACCGACAGAATTCAGTCTGCACCAAAGAGATAGGGCTAAACATGCACACACACACACACACAAACACACATTACACTCGTTACTAATAAGTGTTCAATCAATTCCTCTTTTCAAATGTGAATTTGACAACTGAGTGTACACTTCATTGCCCAGTTCAATGATGACATTAGAATTCTACCTACAGGTATAATCAATGAGTGGTGTGTGTGTCACTACAATTAATTATACAAACGCATTTCACTGTGTTAACTAATCAGAGAACATTTGAAATACTATATATATATGGTGATACATACAGAGTATAACTACATGATGGATAAAATGTTTTATTTTGATAAAGTGTCGCACACACACACACACACAAAGTGTGATTGTTATACAGTAATATTTACTGATGATATCCACCACACACGCTTCGAGCACAATTCATCATTGCAACTACTACTCATGATCATAATTATATCAAGGCACACAACTCACACTCACACACCACTCACCTTCTCGCTTCGTCGTTTATATACATGCATAAGTACAAATTGATGATGATTAGACAACATTTGATTGAATCAAATCAATCAGTAATATAAGATGAGTAGAAAGTGCATTCGGAAATAATAATAATAATAACAATGACATTAGTGTTATCAATCAGTTAATCAATCAATCAGTCAAATACACTTCGATGGGAAATAAGATGTTTTATAGTAAAATTAATAAATAAATAAATAACTTGTTAGTATACAATTGGTGGATGGTGGCTAGCAGTGGAATCTAGGATGCGCATTTCGTCCTAATTGGGACTCGTCAGCTGGATGTACCTGCATTTCTCAGTGAGTGATGATGTTCCCACTGAGGCTCGAACCCAGTAGCCATAGTTTCAAACGCCAAAGCACAAAAAGCCGACATGTCAACCTGAGACCGAGCACTTCGGTCCAATCAATCGACGGAAAATCAAAAATTCAATTCAATAAATAACTTGTTGTTAGAATGTTATGATGATGTACGTGAATTGAATTGAAATAGAATACAATTTAAGATTATTTATTATCCTGCTCTGATTTGACTGACCGACTGACTGGTGGTAATAATATCTTCCACGCATATCTCTGGTATTAGCTGGCGATGATGATGATGAGTCACGTCTATTACATGTGTTGTGTTGTGTTAGGTGTGTAGACCCAATGGAACCAGGATTCAGTAGTCAACCTCTCCGCATCTCTATCTCCACCTTCCGTTTTTGGAATTACTTTTTGGAATATTTTGACTCTGTCCCAACCAACTCATTTTAATGTAAACAAAAATCACACGCTCACTCAGTGGTGATTAGTTAAAGAATAGACCTATAAATAGCGGTTAGATCAATTGAAAATACACCTTGACTTGTGTAGCTTGCTTTCTACTGTTACAGCAGTGCTATTGCTGAGTTATTATTTTTTTTTTTTTACTAAATTACTTATCTTCGGTAGGTGGGATCAATAATTCTAGTCCTTAGCTAAATTCTCACGTTCTAACAGACAGGCAGGCAGGCAATCTGACTACTCCTGCGCCTGATCTACTAGTTTGACTCACCTATATGTAGGTAGCTGACCTAATAGAGTCACAGTCATTGCAACGTATTTTGGAAATTATATTTACTTTCTTTTTAATTGGATCAACCGGGTCCTAATCAATTTTTACTCATCTAATATATTAAACGACGAAGCAAGAAAGTGAGTAGTGTGAGTCATATGCCTTCATATGATGATTATGCTGTCTGCTTTCAGCATAGAACTAGTTTGCACGGATGTGCAGCAGTTCAAGTCGTCACACTCTCCATGTGTAGCACACAAAGCAAGAGAGTAAAGTAAGAAAAGGGAAACGCAAAATGCAGACAGTAAACAGAGATATAAGGCAAAAAAACAATAGTAATATGGAAGAACAATATAGCTTTTTTCGGATATTATAAGTCATAAGGAGTGGATACATCTGCGCTAGCCAACCATCACCGAGAACGAGGATTTTGAGCCAGCCATATCATCAATTGCCTCCAGCCTTCATTGGTATTTACTGTCCCGTGAACCCAAACCAGGAAGTCTACACCTTCCTACGTGGCTGGTTGGCTGGCTGAGAATAACCTTTACTAGTCGACCATTACTATTCAATAACCTGAAGGACAAGATCCTACAGTTGATAAATTCTATGTGAGTTTATCAATTCACTTACCCGTGTGGAGCTAGGTATATTAATCGTTCGATTTGAGTTTGGTCCAAGGGTGTGCAAGAACACTATCCCGCATGCTGACGAACGGGTGGAATAGGAGCTATGAGAAGCGCAATTATTCAACATCTGGTTGATAATGACCACCTTAATGATCTCCACATCCTCCGGCCTTTAAAGTCATGTGTCTACAAGGTGAAAAGTAATTTGCTCAAATTACTACAGGCATAAAATGGACTGACACAAAAGACTTGGAAGATCTGGATTTCGCCGATGATGACATATGTCTGATTTACCACAGACTGGAAGATATGCAAGTGAAAAACAACAAGTTGGCCAAAGAAGAAGCATCAAAGATAGGACTTCAAGTGAACATAGATTAAACAGAGATAGGTGATGAAGATTCCTGGCCAACACCACCAACACCAACAACAACAGACAACAATCAGCCAGAATAAATGGGAGGAACCTGAAAGAAACAACCTCCTTCACCTACCTCGGAAACATCGTTTCAACTACTGGCGCACGGAACTGACGAGGATATCAAAGCCAGAATCGGAAAAGCAAGACAAGCTTCCATTACTCTCAAATCTGTGTGGAGGGGTTGAACAGCAGTCAGCATCAAAAATAAGATACGGATTTTCAACTCCAATGTAAAGTCAGTCAGTGCTACTCACTATACGGATCAGAGACTTGGCCAGCGCGTCATAAGGGGTATCTCAAACAAACTCCAGACCTTCATCGACAGTTGTCTTCGCTCAATACTCCGCTCAAGATTAGATGGCCGGCCAGAAAAGATCAGCAACAGGGATCTCTGGCAATGAGCGAACCAACACAGCAGGAACCGATTGTGAAACAGATAGGCAGGAAGAAGTGGAGATGGATTGGCTGGCCATACTCTGAGGAAACCATCAAGTCAGTGACATCACTAGATAAGCCAATGCTCGAGTAGAACCCGACCGAAAGGGAAGCGGGTGACGAGTTGGTCGTCAATGCAAGGGTGACTTGGAGGAGGTCATGTGAGGAGGAGATGAAAGTGTGGGCAGACTTGGAGCGGGGTGAAACAGTTGGCAGGAAACAGAAGGCAATGGAGGTGCGCAGCTGAAGCCCTATGTTCCTCTAGGAATTAAAGGATAAAATAATAATACTACGTACCATCTGGTTCATCTGCATTGCTGAAGCAGCTTTGACCATCAAAACAGAAAAGCCGAAATTCTGGACTCAGAAAAGGTTCCTTCAAATCCTCCCCTCCAACTTTCGTGGTTTTAATCCGTCTATGCCAAAGTATGGTAATCCCTAATCATATTTTGGCTCAACCAATTTTTTTCATTTTTTCATTTTGTCTACTCAATTTGTAGTCTCTTCCTTATTAAGTCAATTGTTACTAGTATTACTATTCTCACTTTGAACTGTCCCCGGTATTATTTTACCGGTATTGTTCCACTTGTCATTCGAAATCAATTCCTCTTTTTTACAACGATAAATTCTATGCTATTAAATTTCACACAATAAATATTACGTAACGTTTTTGTTTTATTCGATTTGTCTACTAATCCTATAATTGCACACCCCCTTTTTCAAGTTCTATCCATCCAATGAATTATTCTATGTATATGACATTAATTTGCTTTGCCACTTGACATTTAACTACGATTATAATCACAAAGATTTTAGCTTTAATTGAACTTCATATGATTATTATTATTATTATTTTATGCATTCACACCTAAGATTCTATTCCCTCACCGGATATAACTTCTTAAAAACCACATGTATATACGATTGTACAGGTTGATACTGAATTCGTCTGTTGAAAAGAGTCTTTTCACTGAATGGATCACTTGTTTTGATTTTCTATATATGGTGTTACAATGAGAATTTTCCATGAGTTAATGAAGCCATGTTTTGGTTTGATCACCACCCTATGACATCTAACATTTCCCATTGTCGGTGGAGGAAGGCGATAGCTAGTCATACAAATGTGTAACACACGCGTCCTAACCATCTCAGCATTTCCACAGCCTCGTCGTCTATTGATTTCCCCTCCCCTTACTGTATGTGTGTGTATATGTGACACTTTATTAAATGGTATACAAACATAAAAAAAGGGTGGGTTGGGTTACACAAATGGGTAGCTTACATGAGTAGTAGTAGTAGTAGTAGTAGTATTATGATTACTTCTTTTTAAAGGTATATTGATTCCTTCGTAATCAGGCAGATTCACATCGTCATCATCATCATCATCACCAGCAGCATCATCATTATCCGCTTCAATGTTAACTATTGTATCAGAAGATGAATAGCCAGTTGTATCATATGTAGGTGAATTTGTCACTGTGTTGATTGGACTGTGTAAAACAAAATTACTTGATGAATTTGATACACTTTCTATATTTGTAGGAATATAATTGTTGTTGTTCAAAGAATTCATGCATCGATTGACATTTGATGGTTGTTGTTGTTGTTGCTGATGAAATAATGGACTGATTGAAACTCTGTATGTAAGTAATTGTTGACGTGGTATTAGAAAATCTTTATTCAATTTCGATCTGCCTATCATAAGATCAGCATAGCCTTGTAATTTATTAATTCGTTTTGAAGACAATTGCAGCATTCTAGATTGCATTTTAGAAGTCGAAGAAGAAGAAGAAGAAGTAAGAGGAGGAGGCGGAGAAGGAGTGGTGGTGGTGGTGGTGGTGGTGACTTCCTCTGATGGTTTAAGTGTTTCATACTCACTTGTGCATATGTCTACCTTGTCATCTAATTTTGGAGTATTATTCAAAGCGGTATATTCATTTTTTTCTGAATAAACCTCAGTATTTTCAGACGTTGGATTCTTCATTGTAATTGTGTTGACTAATTTGAAAGATTCATTCTGTGGGAATCCAATGCTAACTGATATAAACTGTGAAGATGTTGGTGGTGTAGAACCTTGATAGAGAGCAAAAAAAAATGTATAAAAAGTGGGTTAGTAACAACTATAACTTCTGTCACACAGCAATCAAATCAATCAATAAATGAGATTCTCACTTAGCAACTGGACATATTAAGGGTTCTGTTAGGAAGTTGTGAACAGTAGGGTGCAGCAGCTAGCATGTGTGTGTGTGTGTGTGAGGGACAAATACTCCCGCGCCAGCGATGACATTGGCTAGTGCCAGTCAAGCTATGACGTTGTGTGAATTGGTAGAAGTTGGAATTCATTGGCTGGCGATTGGATCGGGTCTTCTTAGTGCTTAATGGTCTAAGAGCTAGCTCACCTTGTAACCAGAAGATCACGGGTTCGTATTATTGAAGAACCAATCCAGTCCAAACTAGGCTGAAGAAACATCTGTCTGGGAGTACTGGTCTGTAGCGGGTTTTCCAATGGTTCTCTCTCTCTCTCTCCAACCAATCGATGTCAGTGGGTCATGATGAAATCCTCCAGCCAATCAATAAAATCCTTACAAACCGCGATAACCTGAACTATAAATCTGTGAGATATAATGGAGAAGATTTGTGGCTCAGGTGGATGATTTCGGTATAGTGTTGCATTCTTTGCGTTAGCTTGTTTAGATAGATGGTTTATTTGAGGCGTTTTTATCATTGCCCTCCTACTAGGCAGGCGATATGTTCAGCGTAAACTTCAATTTGAAAAAAAGTGAACTTTAAGATTTCTCCACAAGTTTATATTAGTCATTTCTTCTAATGGTGGGTGATCCTGAACGTGGTTGGTTGTTTCTGTGTGTCTCTACACCCGGAAACATAATCCTATTTTTGAACGTCTTGGTCAAGGATTAACCATAAAGAAAATTAGAAACTCAAGTCTACAGAAAATCAACTCGTACAGATCAAATACTCAATTACAACAGAAAAAAACCCGATTAGACACAAAAGGAGTTGTATACAAACACTTTTCGAGAGAGCCAGCCAGCCAGCCAGCCAAGACCCACTGTAGTACTCTCACCTTAAGGAAAATTGAAGAAGGATATCTCATGGACATCTGCAAAAAGAATGGATATCCACGGAATTTCATAAAAATACACCTACCCACACCACAAGCCAACTGACCAAATCAAAGGCACCCAAAGAAAATAACCCTACCATATATATAAAAGACGACATCTCAGAAATCACTACAAGACTCTTCAAACGTTTAGGAATTGATGTCACACACACACACACACACAAACCAACAAAATTACTTTGCTCAACCGGCTCTATGTCAACTAAAAGGCAGACTGAACAGTGAAAGATGATACAATCAACATCATCTACATAAGAATGCTAGAGAACCTCTAGAAGCTTGATATTCTAATCAGCCGTCAATTATTCAACACACTGCCAATCTGTAAGAAGGAAATCTCATACACGAAGAAGGGTCAAACTTCAAGTCAAGAAAACAATCAGTACCAATACAAGTAGTAGGCTAGAGTACTCACTGCCTTCACGTGGTGGAGGTGTTTTTCACCACCGAAGTGAGGGGGCAAAAGCGGATGACCGGCGCTCTTCACCGGGTTGACTGACTGTCCATCGGATGACAGTCTAGGGAAGATGGCTAAACCCTGCCTGATTCCAAACCTCCAACGACTGGCGTATGAAGCTCACCGGTAGGCAGACGTATGGACAAAGGGCTTATTGGATGACCTGGTGCATGTCTGGCCCCATTCAAAAAGGCGTACGAACCGGACTCCGGTCACCGGCTGGCTTCCAATGGATAGTGGACTCCTCCCTACTCCACTCCTACTGCCTTGTAGGAGGTCACACTTGGTTGGTTGTGTAAAGGCTAGAGCTTCACTCTCAAACAAAAGGCCGAGCGATTCTGGGGACATCACTTGTACCTAATTCCCATGAAACTTCATCAACTCTCTACAACATCAACCAAATTCCAGTACTGGTCGAACAACGTCGCCTTCGGTGGTTTGGCCATGTTCTGGGCCGGGCCGACCAGATGACGATCTGGTCAAATCAGTTCGAAATCCCTCCTCGCCATTTCCATCTTGGCGATGTCGCAGGGGGGTGGACAGCTGAAAGCACATGGCTTGGTACAGTGAGTCAAGGCTGATATGGAGTGACTGGGCCGGGGCTACAAACCATCTATGGACTCCATCTGTGGAACAGGAATTGGATAATCCTGTCGCAAAAGCTTGCATCAGATCACCGCGCCTGGGCAGCGATGATTCGAGATGTTCATGAAGCCGGCTCATCCCCCCGTAGGAGATAGCCGAAGTAAAGTAAGTAAGTAACAAGTGTAATATGTGTGTGTCTAGTGCTACCTCTTTGATTCAGAGTGAATTCTGTCAGTCAATCATGTTTGCATTGTGACCACCGCGCCACAAGGTGGCTGTTGACTTGCCATCATGGTGCACTTTGAATTGTTGATATTAGATGGTTGTAGGCAATCAGCCATAGGAAGCCTTGGATCTAGCTAGACCTAGGTTTCGTGCTAGTTGGCACTCACCCACCATCAGTCAGTCAGTCAGCAAGGAGTGTATCTGCAACCACACTGAAGGAACAGTTCAAGTCCCACCCCCTTCTGAGATTGGAACCCGCGTCTCCCAGTGCCGCCTGCAGTAGGTCAGAGACATTACCAACACTAAGTCAGCTATTCGAGTTGGCTCGCGACTTACTTTCTTTTAGGACTGACTGTATTAGATACCTAGTTAGCAAGTAGTGTAATGTGTCTAGTCCTCTGTTTGGTGCGAACTAGGATGAAACCTAGGTCTCGGCAAGGCTTCCCACGGCCGATTGCCTCTAACCATCTAATATAAAAACGAACATTTACAATACTTCTTCTACTACCGTCTTTTTTAACCACTATGATGATGATGATGATGATGAGTCACCGGGATCACGTATATACGATCATAAATGAAAACAAAGACAAGCGAGTGAACGTCAGGGAGCTCTGGAACTGGGATACAGCAAGACGAGCTAACAAAGCCACTAGCATCAAGAAGACCAAACCGACTTCAGTATAAAGCATTTGATGGAGGGAGGGGACAAGTGTAGTAGTGAAATGCAGACAATGTGTTTCAACGGAATATTATTCTCACAACATATTCTCACAGTTCAATAATACATTAGCGCAACAACATACTGTATATGTACATTTGAACATTCTAATTCATGTAGTTTAACGTAAACCAAAACCATATACTCTCTCAGTGATTGGTTTAAGAGTATAAAACTGAATGGATATATAAACAGCAGCTTGGTGGATGGAAAATGCTGATACACCATAAACGGATATTACAAACTCAATCTTTTGATGATATATTAGCTGGTTGGAGGCAGTCAGCTACAGGAAGACTTGCCCGACCTAGGTTTCCTGCTAGTTGGCACTCACTCACTAGTCAGCAAGACGTATCTGCAACCACATTGAAGGAACAGCTCATGTCGCTTCTGAGATTCGAACCTGCGTCACCCAGTGCTGACTGCAGTCAGAGACGTTACCATCTCTGAGTTATTCGGGCTCGCCATTGACCATCACAGGGAGGGGAGGGTTCGAATCCAGACAGGACCTTCTGGTTAAGTGGCGAGTGAGTGATCGCTCGTAAACCATTAAGCAGCCACTCACCGGGATCCGATCTAATGGCTAGCCAGTTCATGAATTTCAACTTCTACTCATTCATAATATAGCCCGATAGCTAGACAATGTCATCGCTGGAGACCAGTATTTGTCCTCACATCCAACCTGCTGTACCCTAGTGATAACGAATCCCCCACTAGAACCCCAGGTAACTACTTATCTGAATAGGGTCAGTGGCTATTGAGGTTTTCCAATTGTTTTCTAACCGATATCATCTCATGATGAAATCCTGTTAACAAACATTTTGATAGCATATCATACTACTATTATTAATATTATTATTTCATGTATTCAGACTTATGGTTCGATTCCCTCCCACACAGGATATTTCTTGATAACAAGCATATACTTGTACAACTGTACAGCTTGATAATAAATTCGTTGCTGAAAGGAATCTCTTCGCAGCATTGTAGGGAGATACATGGGAGACGTGAAAGGAACATACAAACAAGCACAGTATGAAGGAAGACGAGAAGCACCACAACACGAAGATCTGTACAAACGGGGCGCTGAAGATAAGCCTATATAGAGATACCAGTTGCCTAAGGAACAATACTTTACCAAGTCTCCGTCTTCTACCGACTGTAAACCAGAGTAACAACGATGAACAGGTCACGAATAAAGCTCATCTTCAGTCATCTCATCTCATCCAGCCAGCAGTTGTACAACATTCCTGCATGCCAAGTAATCCACAACGGGAAACTCCTTCAAAGTTAAACGGGAGTAAGACAAGGCTGGATCCAATGATTTTCCTGATTGAGGTTGACTGGATAGTGCGACAGACAGCATGCATCGAGGAGACAAGAGTGAAATACACCCCTACAAAATCTTCGAGGATGTGGACTTCACCGATGATGATATATGTCTGATTTCCCACAAAGTGGGAGATATACAAATGAGAAGCAACAAGTTGGTACAGGAAGCATCCATAGAAGATAGGACTTCAGGTGAACGTAGAGGAAACACATGTGTGCGTCGGTAGCACAGTGCGGTTATGACTCTCGCCGACCATGCACATGGTCCGAGGTTCGATCCCCTGCCGACACACACATGATAACTATGGTCAACCTGCAAAATTTCGGCTACCAATATCCATGCTGAAAATTCCATACTAGTACCAAAAATATAGTGTGGAATCAAGCTGTAAATCAAAAATTAAAAAAAAATAAAAAATAAAATAAATCTCATCCCTTGTTGTAGTTTTGATTTTCTATATTCGATATTGTTTTGCTAATTAATACTAATTAAAAATTAAACCATAATCTTAAACAGACTATCATAAAATTTAAAAAAACAAAAAAATTGAGGAAATCTCTACAAATAGAGTAGATGGAAAGGATCATTCGAACCTAGATGGCAAGCGAGGTAAAGAAGGACAGTGTCTGAACCAGCTCCCAACAGCCTCAGCCCCAGTAATATGTACGAACTCATACGGTGAAGGTAATATTTGTTGGTATGCACGGCAAACGACTTCGAAAGCCACCTTATTAACATCAATCAACTTTTGTGTTCTCGTATCCACAAGATGAGTGAGATATTATAGAGAGCAGCTATGAATGGATTTTGTTTCACTTTCACTTAACCACGCACAGTGATGTGTATCTACCAATTTAACTGCTCCTGTCGAGTGAGGCAGCTTACATAGACCGTAAAATTTGGCATGATTATCGTCGGATTTCCAAACATCACCCCTTCCATACACAATGGTTGGTTAAGTAAAGAAAGGATGAACAAAATCCATTCACAACTCCATTATATCTCAACCTGTGGATACAGGAACACAAGACTCGTTGATGTTAACAAGGAGGCTTTCAAAGTCATTTGCCGTGCATACCAACAAATATTACCTTCACCTTAAGAGTTCATCTACAACATATTACTGAGGCTAATGTTTGGGATCCACACGAAGAAGCCTGACTTATGTATCCAAAAGAAGAAGAAGAAGCTGGTTCAGACACTGTCCTTCCTTACCTCGCTTGCCATCTAGGTTCGAATGATCCTCACTTTGTTGTTGTGCGAATTTCCTTAATTCTATTTGCTATTAAATTTTTATGCTTCTTAATTATAATTTATGCAGCATCTTTCGTGAACTGTCTGTAATCCCATTGTGATCTTACTTAACAAATCAAAGGTATTCAAAAAGCACCACCAATATTGTGCAAAGAAAGATGGATAGTCATGACCATTAGGGAAGAGTAGGTCGGGTGTGAGGACAACTGCCCACTGAAGACATTGCCTAATGCCAGTCAAGCTGTGTCTTGGATTGGTAGAAGTTAGAATTCATGAACTGGCTGGCTGTCCATTGGATCGGGTCTCAGTGAGTGACTGACTGCTTAATGGTCTACGAGCTAGCTCGCTCGCTTACTCGCTCGCTTTGTAACCAAAAGGTGATTCTGGGTTCGAACCCCATCTGTCGGATGGGTGCGTACTGATAAAGCGGAGTCCTGAACTAGATCAACGAGACTGCTCTCTAGCAGTACTGCGTTTAGGAGTAAAAGATAAAAAACTGCATAATTTCGCCTCTTCTATCTGCATGTATTTACCAATTTGACTACTCTTTTTGGAGCCAGTTACATAGGCCGTACAACAATTAGTCGTGTTTCTTGTCAAATTTCTGAACATCACCCTGCACAGTATGGTTGGTTACCTAAAGGATAAACAAAATCCATTCATCATAGCTCTATTCTACCTCATCTTATGGATACAGGACACCAGACTGATTGATGTTACCAAAGTGGCTTTCAAAGTCATCTACCGCATACCAACGAATCTTACCTTCACCCTAAGAGTTTGTTTACTACATATTGCTGAGGCTGGTGGTTGTTGGGATCAACATTAAGAAACCTAAATTATTATGCATGCATCCAAAAGAAGAAGCTGGTTCAGACACTGTCCTTCCTTACCTCGCTTGCCATCTAGGTTCGAATGATCCTCACTTTGTTGTTTTGGAAATTTCCTTAATTCTATTTGCTATTACATTTTTATGCTTCTTAATTACAATTTATGCAGCATCTTTTTTGGTGAACTGTCTGTAATCCCATTGTGATCCTACTTAACAAATTGATGACTGTCTGTCTATCTATCTGTTTTCGACCTAGAACTTTGCACATATGTGCGCCAGTTCAAGTCGCCACACTCCCTCCATGTAATACACAAAGCAAGAGAAGAGAGTACAAGAAAGACATAACAGGGAGACAGTATGTAGAGGTGTGAGACAAAGGAGGAGTAATAACGAAGAACAAAACAGTTTCATTGGAAATCATAAGTCACAAGGAGTGGATGCATCTGCATCAGCCAGCTCATTGAGAACGATTTTGAGCCATGTCACCAATTGTTTCCAACCATCGGTTTTTACCGTCGCGAGGACCCCAGCCTGGAAGTCTACACCTTCCTACGTGACTGGCTAAGACTAACTGTTGTAGATTTCATTGACTGGTTAAGCCATGCTTTTGTTTGACCTCCGTAAGCTTTTTTCCAGCCTGACCCTACATCCGCTAACATTGCTCGTCGTGGAAGGCGATGACTAGGCATGCATACGTAACACATGTCCTAACCATCTCAGTCTTTGTAACTTCACAACTTCGAACTCGACACCCAACCTCAGTATTGCTCACCTTATTACGCCACTTTACACGGGAAATACAGCGCAGGCACCTATGATCAAAGACAGCTAATCTTTTCATGTCTTCCACTCTCAGTGGCCAGGTCTCACAACCATAAAGGTGGACGGAGCGGACTGATGAGCAGTACACTCGTCCTTTAGTCGATAGTCGAACATCTCGTCTACTAAGCCAGAGTCGGCGTAAACTGGCAAATGCGAAACAAGCCCCCTGTATTCGTACTCAGCTGAGATTTCGTCAGAGATCAACCCATTGGCACTGGCTGATGGTACTTCCCAAAATAAGTGAAGCGGTCAACGTGCTCCACCAACCACTTCACTTCCTATTTTTAAACTAGGCGTCGATGTAGTTCCAGTTGAAAAATCAATGTTTTGTTATTGACACGACTACTATTCTAGAATAACATTCCATGTATATAGACATCTAGATGTATAATTGTAGAGCCAGAAAACGAGGAGAAGGGAATTATCGAAAAGGATTCTCTTTACTGCTCAATTATTTTTTTGTTTTTTATAGATGTCTGAATGAATGAATATTTTCTCTATTTCTCATAAAAAATTGTCGCATTTAAAAACAGCCTTAAGAGCTTTTAAAGTTGAGCTGAGATTTAAATCGTCTCTTTATCGCATAATTTTTCTATGGTAATTAATCTTTGCAATAATAATAATAATATAAATAACCTAGGGTGTCTCAATACTAAATTTTATTGACATTCAGTCAGTCATAAAACACATACCATAGTCATGAAACCTACTGTTTTCTATGGCTTCATTTTCGGCTAACATTGTTTGCACTGAAGGAATTAATGAAGAATCCTTTTTATCTACTGATGTAATAATATCTGATGATTCAGAGGTAACTTTCAGTGGGAAAACATTTGAAAATATTGGATTTTTAACAGTTTGATAAATATCCTTTGTTTCATCTGCAAATCGTACTGTCTTCCGTGATGTATGTGGTGATTCTATGACCTCTGACTCAGGAATTGTGTTACAAGCACTTGGCGGTAACTGTGTTGGCGATGAATAACCTATCTGAAATCTAACTGAAGATAATTCTACACTATCTCTTGGTCCGTATAATGAATCGATGAAATCCTCCGGAGAAAATTCATAGGTTGTATGATCAACATGTATTCTTGGCGATTCATTGATTCTTGATTTTAAAATACTTCTGGTATACTTTGGAATTAAATTCACCTCAGCTTTTTCATTAGATGCTTCTATATCGGTTAAACTAATAGAATCATCAAGATCTTCAATTGGTGTTGTTCTTTGTGAACTTGATAAACTGACACTAGAGACATCAACACACGGGATAGGCGAGGCATTCATATCGGAACTAAGACTTGATATCTCTTCATCTGTTTCAGAAGAAGCAGCTTGATTTTCCTGCGAAGACTTTTTCATGTCGTTACGATCGATTTGATCAGAATGGATTTCTTTTCTCCAAGAAGAGATGTTTATCTTTGAATCAAGTGAATCTTTATTTCTTTGAGGAATTGATGATGATGATAATGCGCTGTTTGATGTGAGTATTGATCGGTTGGTAGGGGATTTTGTTGGAGTACAGGTGGTTTGTGAGGAAATAACAAATTTTAATGGTGCTCTGTGAGTGTTAGTTGTTGGTGTTGGCGTTGGCGTTTTTGAGGTTATCTAAAAAAAATATGTAAAAATATCGAAATGGCAGTAAATTATAGAAAATTAAGAATTTAATATGTTTAAGCACTGATTCTGGTAGGGATTTTTGTTGATTTGATTGGTTGCAGGATTTCATCATGACCACTAACTGACATTGGTTGGTTAGAGAACCATTGGAAAAACAAGCCACCGGGAGTACTGCCAGACAGCTGCTTCGGCTTAGTTTGGGACTGGCTCTTCATCAGTACGCGCCCACCGGGGGGTCCCAGTGCCTTAATGGTCTGCGAGCTCACTCAAATTGTAACCAGAAATTCCTGCGTTCAAGTCCCAGGGCGCGGGGGGTGGTTACATACTGATGAAGAGCCAGTCCAGCCCAAACTAAGCTGACGAAAAAGCTGTCTGGTAGTACTCCAAGTGGCTGGTTTTCCAATGGTTCTCTAACCAACCAATGTCAGTCATTGGTCATGATGAAATCACCCAACCAATCACATTTAGTCTATTGTTTCCATGTTAGATAAGTTTATTCTGTGGGATAAACAGTGACACATACACAGTATCATCAAATTAGTAAAAATCCCAACCTCATGGGTAGTGTTACATAGACTATACCGCTATGCGTTGGAGAAAATGCCTGTCAACTCTCAGTCAGTTTGTTCCAAATTAAATAACTTTCTGTCGGAAATTAGTCAGTGGTTCTCTTCAAACGGTCTTAAGCTGAATCCGTCAAAATGTCAGGTAGTCAATTTCACTTTCAGACATAAACGTGACCTACAGCGACTAGTTAGCCCACATGGCCCCACTATCATTGACGGCACAGAGGTTGAAAATACATCTAATGTCAAGTACCTTGGACTGAGGTTTTCCACCGATCTTTCCTGGTCTTCCCACATCTTGCTAGTTACTAGAAAGATGTTTCGCTTAACGTTCTACATTAGGAAATTTAGGCAGTCTGGTATAAGGCAATCTTTACTTTCTCAATTTGTAAATTCTTGTATTCTACCCATCCTCCTTTACTGCTCCCCATTAGTCTTTCCTGGACTACTTAAGAAAGACCTTGCTTCGCTGAGAAGGGCACTAAAAGCTGTTAGTAGGGCAAGTGGGATATCGTTAAACCAACTGGTGAACACTATTGTAGATAGACATATTATGTCTTGTAAGAAACTAGCGAATACAATATTGTCAGACCCCGAGGATCCTCTCTATACTCAGCCCTCTCCTTGCATTTCATCTGGTAGAACTAGAAGCAGCTATAGGAGGCTGGCTGGCTATATGCTAGGACTACCAAATACAAAAACTCCACAATACCATATCTGGAACAGCTGTTATGTGCGTGATGAGAAATCCGTTAGGTATGACAAGATCAACTTACTGCGCCAGTCTAACAAATAGTCCCATTAGTTTTGGCTTTCCTTTCCTCGTTACTATTACACTGTTGTTCTCATCTTCTATCACACATCAACTTTATATTTCATATCCTGTGGTGCATTGTTTGAAATGTAAACTCTACGCTGTTTTTTTTTTAATTTTTATTTATCTTTTATTTTTTGGTGTTGTTTTTTTATTTTTATTTATTTATTTTTTTGATTTTAAAAATCTTATAAAATTTATGAGGTAATTAATTAGATGAAATGTATTGTAATGAACGCTGAAAATTCCATGGCTGTACCACAAATACCGTTTGGAATAAAGCAGTTATTATTATTATTAAAATAAAGTTAACAAACGCTTCATATCATGTCAAAGATATCAAATAAAATCCCAAGGAAAACAAACTATCTTAGTATCACAGTTACTACGATTCTTGTCACTGATCTACATGGCAGCAAGTACGAAGTTTAAAGATTATTTCCTTGTGGTTCAAAGTGCTTTCTGGAGATTGACAATCCTATCGAGACAATCAATATCGCCGTAAGCTTTTAACTGAACTTAAGTTATCAGTACCCGACCGAAAGCTGCTACCTTGACGTGGTGGTCGGGCTTGAACACCGCAATGATCTATTCAAGCTATACTGGCTGAGACTTATGTCTCTTGAGGTACTACCATGCCAGGCAGGTTGTTTGGATAGCGGTTAAACAAAAAGCAGCTACCCAATCCAACATCATGTCCAATACAAAATCACAAAATTTCATGCCGGATCGGCCGTGGCCCGGATTAACAACGACCGCGCTTCCTGCTGCCGTGTCACAGGGCGGGAGTGATAAATCTGCTACTGAGACACACCAAACAAAAAAGAACGAACAAAAACAGGCCGCGTGTGACCGGCCTCAAGCAGTTGTCCCCTGGGCTCTGCGGTCACGCAACCAACTTCCACGGTGTGGGCAGCCGGGAAGTAACAATCGCCCTCACAATCCGAAATGCACACGAAACCTCTCTATTACTCACTCATCTTTGTCTTCATCTTCATCTCTATCATCTTGCCTTCCTTCCACTGATGCAACTCCTCGACTTGATAGCTCTCCACTTCCTCTCCACTCTGCGTCCACTAAAAACGATGGAAGCCAAAAAACCACCACCGACAGCCTCTTAAAGCCGCGCCACCAATTTCATATAGGAGCTCTTAATGTTAGGACACTTTGCCAAATAGGACAACAAGCATCACTAGCCAAGACCCTGGCATCACGAGCCATTGATGTATGCTGTGTTTCAGAAACACGCATACAAGACCCAAGTGTGGTTATTCACCTAACCCCACCTGGCCAACAGGTTGAATCTGCAAAATTCACCTTGAGGGTGTCAGGAGATGCCACAGCTAGTTCACGAGGATTAGCTGGCGTAGGGATAGCTTTGAGTACTAGGGCAGAAAAGACATTGCTTGACTGGATCCCGGTAGATAGCCGAATGTGTGCTGTCCGCCTGAACGGATCAGTAAGAAGGAGGAAGGACTGCACTACTCGCCGATGCCTTTTCGTAATCTCCGCCTACGCCCCCACTGACTGCAGTTCAGATGAAACGAAGGATGAGTTCTACCAAAAGCTGTCTAGTTTGGTGGAAAGGCTAAACGCTCAGACATAGTCGTTCTAGCTGGTGACTTTAACGCTCAAGTAGGGAAATTGTGTCAATCTGAGAAGGATGTCGGTGGCACCTATGGAGCTCCGTGCCAGCGAACCGACAACGGTGACCGTCTCCTACAGTTCTGCTCTGATAATCATTTGTTTCTTGTAAGCACTAACTTTAAACACAAGGAGAGACACTGTTTGACTTGGAGACCCCCTTCATCAAACCAACGCTGGACACAAATAGACCACATAGCAATAAGCTATCGTTGGCGTGGGTCGGTAGGAGATTGTCGCTCCTTCTGGAACACGTGCGTAGATACCGACCATGCACTGGTCCGCGCTCGGGTGTGCTTACGACTGAACGGACGTAGGAAACAGCTGGCGGTAAAACCATCACGTCCCCAGCTCGATCAGGAAACTAAATCCGTATTTGAGGAAGAACTAGCTAAACACATATCTGTGTTCGACAGCTGTGCTCACCCTGAAGAAGCTTGGAAAAATATCCAGGCAGCCATAGATACAGCTGTAAAAGCTGTGAATAAGGTAAACCCAAAGGTGAGTAAAAACCACTGGATCTCCACCGCCTCATCCGAACTGATAGATGCTAGAAGACTTATTCCGGCGAGCTCCGAATTCAATGAGGAGCGAAAGCTGCACAAGAGGAAACTTACGAAAAGTCTCCGCAAGGACCGTGAACAGTGGTGGGCGACAAAAGCCAAAGAGATGGAGAAAGCTTTGAGGATAGGCAACACCAGGCAACTCTTTGGACTCATCAGGGAAACGGGTGGGAGAAGACAAATCATTAGTGAGACAATCTCGGAAAAAAATGGCACTATAATTAGCTCACAGGATAGACGACTGGATCGTTGGAAAGAGCATTATGAGGAGCAGTTTAATTTGCCCACAGCCACGCTCAACCTTCCGAGCATCCAACACCTCCCTGAATGGGATATAGATACAGGTCCTCCGTCACTAACTGAGGTTACTAAAGCTGTCACCAATCTGAAACTAGGCAAAGCAGCGGGACCTGATGGAATGACTCCAGAGGTATTTAAGTACGGTGGAGACAGCTTACTGTCCGGATTAACTGAGGTACTAGGCAGCGTCTGGGAATCAGAAGAAGTCCCATCGGGTTGGTGTAAGTCACTGATTATCCCCATATACAAGAAGGGAGACAAGTCTTCCTGTGATAATCACAGAGGGATTAGCTTGACTAATATAGTATCTAAAGTCTTAGGCTCAATAATCATGCGTAGACTGAGTGGTGCTCGGGAAGCACAAACACGAGAGAGCCAGGCAGGCTTTAGACCAGGAAGAGGGTGTATTGATCATATCTTCACCCTCCGACAGATTCTAGAACATAGGCATTCCTACCGGCGTCCAACAGTCATTATATTTCTTGACCTAAAGGCAGCATTCGACTCTGTCGATCGGGAAGTTCTCTGGAGATGCTTGGCTGTAAAGGGAATTCCAAGAAAATATATTGCACTGATTAAGGCACTCTACTCGTACTCATACAGCCAGGTGAGGGCTTACGGCGAGCTGTCATCTGAACTGATGACGACCAGTGGTGTCCGTCAAGGATGCCCATTATCTCCTTTTCTATTCAACTTCATCATAGATGTGTTAATGGACTTAACCCTAGGTGACTTCAGCGACTCAGGGATTGACTTGCTACCTGGGAATAATCTCGTTGACTTGGAATATGCAGACGATATAGTCCTTCTAGGCGAAGACGCTGACGAAATGCAGAGTCTTCTAAACACCTTGAGCCGCAATCTACGAATGTTTGGCATGCGATTCGCTCCCGCCAAATGCAAGATGATGTTACAGGACTGGACTACATCGACGCCTAGTTTAAAAATAGGAAGTGAAGTGGTAGAGCACGTTGACCGCTTCACTTATTTGGGAAGTACCATCAGCCCCAACGGGCTGATCTCTGACGAAATCTCAGCACGAATACAAGGGGCTCGTTTCGCATTTGTTAGTTTACGCCGACTCTGGCGTAGACGAGATGT